TTCAACGAGATCTGCGATAAACAGCGGAGTAAAGTGGAGAATTTGGCCAAATACGTCCATTTGCAGGAGGTAGGCACATTTGAAATTATTATTTTGGACACAAAATATTAACCATTTTACACCAAAACAGTGATAATATAATTAAATAAGGACCAATTATGTTTCTAAATCAAAAAGATTTAGGAAAAAAGGTAATGTAGGTCCACTGCTGTTTATCTGAAGTTGCAAGCCACAAATTGACGTTTGACTATGAGTATTGCATGGTAGTTTTCTTGTGAAATATCAGTGCTAGGCATTTCACACTTACCAATGACCACCCCTAAAAGCACCATCTCTGAACCATATAAGCAATTCAGAATAGCCAAAGCTTGTATGGTTTGGTAGATAGTACTATGGCGAGAGCGTCGTTTTTGGGTGTGGTCAATTTCGGACGTTTCATCCTGGATTGGGGTTCGGGCAGCGTTACCATGTTGACCGTCATGGTCAACTTACCCTAAAACAGTTGAGATTATTTCTCCTAAATGAAATTCCCACCAAATCATATACAGATTCTCGACTACCTGTGGGATATCTGGATCATCTCAGTAATACTTTTTATTTATTATAATATTTGTATTTATAGTATGTATAGTACAGTTTATACTGCAGAACTTCTTCTTTATCGTATAGATAATAGATTTATAGAAACAATTGTAACAAAAGTATCTTGGCAAATACAAAATATTGAGAAACTATCACGTATAAGTATAAACTACACGCGATTATTATTGCGCTTTTGAACAATTATTCGCCAAACTTTGGCCAAAGGCGAGGCCGCGATTATCGGGGAATTTGTCAAATTCGACCAATCAACTTGACAACTTGTAGGAATTGTTATATATTTATTCACTAGCGCAAAAATACTAATGACGGTATTGTTCATCTTTGCATAATAGTTTACACCGGTTTTATTAGCGCCTGCCTGGAAAATAGGCTGTGTTTACAATGTATTTTGTCTTTGTCAGTTTTAGCTTTTCATAAATGTATTCAGCCATAGTGAACACGAAAACTCTCATAGTCATCATACTTTATAAAATACGAATGTATGATCATACATTATTAATTGGTAGTACTGATTACTTTATGATAATCTATAGTATTACTTTATGTATATATTTATGTCTATATTATTGTCTATATATGGCTCTTTTGCGTACGTTATGCGGCTGGGCATTAATCTTTATACTACGATTACGATTCCAGCCTGGTTCATCACTTGCAAGTGGTAGTATTACAGTAAACGTGGCAAATAGTAGCTAGACTACCTGAAGCACATAGACATAGATTTTTTTCACACACAACTGAGTAGGTCTTAAAAAAGTGTGTAAATTTCCGTTCGAATATTCCTGTCCATCTATTAACACTTATTAATAATAACTGAAGCACTTAGCCTTAGTGATAAGGATAGCTAACTAGAATGTCTTTCAAAAATAAGTAACATTAACAAAACCGGCGTTACTGTGTAACGGAGTAAACAATTACACAATACAGTACTGGTATAAGCTATTATGCAAAGATGAACAGTCAATAGATACATAATACAATACTCAATAGGCGCAATAATAATCACTTGTATAGTTAATATTTTGTATTTGCCGAAACACCTTTGTCACAATTGTTTCTGACAATTAATCTATTATCTATATGATAAAGAAGAAGTTCTGCAGTATAAACTGTACTATGCATACTATAAATACAAATATTATATAAAATTTAAATATTAAATCCCAAAATATTGGATAACCCTGCTATCCTACAGGCTATATCGGTATGAAATTGCGCTGCTGGCATACCTATATAACCGATACTGAGTATTTTTTACCTTGTATATTATATCATGCATGTGCATACAGTGTAGCACACTTTTCAGCATCAAATTTTCGTTCTCTGTTTAGATTTTAATATATTTATACGAAAATCTAAAAAATATAATTTCAAAATCGAAAGTCCAAAGTCCAAAATCCATAGTTCAAAGTCCATAGTCCAAAGTCCAGTCCAAAGTCCAGTCCAAAGTCCAGTCCAGTGTTTACAACATTTAATTTAATTTAATTTAATGAATTTGTCACAATTATACAACAAAGGACAATTACATATTTACAGAAACAATGACAGGAGAAGGTAACAGGAGAATTTCCCAATTGACAACCGACCCCAACAAGAACAATACAATAAAAAAGCAAATATCCAGTTTTTAGAAGTCGGACTGTATCTGAATCCAACTACGGCGGTGTGTACGTTTGCAGCCTGTCCGAAAAATATCCATGCAGTTTTGATTTAAAAATAGAAACGGACTGGCATTTTTTTAAATCATGTGGTAAATTGTTCCATAGTTCAATAACTCTTGGAAAAAAAGAGTTTCTGTAATAGTTTTGCTTATGGTCAGTTATTATTTATGGTCAGTTATTATTTACAATATGCCGTGTTTTGCCCGATTGGCCGATTTCCCTGTCGTGACTGTTGTCTCTATCATCGCGTTTCTAGTAACAATGTAAATAGTGGTAAAGAAATATTTGATAGAATCACAGGAATTCTACATTTCTCGTTTTCTGCCTATTTCCACCCTGCTCCAAGAGTAGATCGATGTGCAGGATATATTACGAATTGCTCAATGTTTTCCGATTTATGCCCTGTAATATCATGATTACAACTTAACAACTGAACGCATTCTGATGATTTGTTTTTAACTCTAGTATCATGGCCACAATGACCAACAACTATTGCGAAAAAGGAGCACTTTATATCCATGACGTCCAGACCTTGGCAAGATCTATTTTTAGACATGCAGTATCAAACTTTCCCAGCATGAGCTCTGATCCACCTTTGAATTTACTATACGAGTAAATTCTTAAACACGTCCGAATTTATCATTATGATAAATTCGCGGCAAATTTGAATTTATCATAATAATAAATTCGCGGCACCTAACACTAACACTAACCCTGACCCCAACACTAACCAATAACCCCTAACCCCAAACCACTAACCCCTAACCCTAACTTTTTAAACTTTTTAAATTTTTTTAACTTTTTCAAAAATCTAACTTTATAAACTTTTCTTGCTTTTCAAAATTCTTTTAAAACTTTTTAAAACTTTTTTAAAAACTATTTTTTTAAAAACTTGAAAAACTCCTTTTCGTGCCATTACACTTACAGCAAGAAATCTTGTGTAATGCTTGTGGTTTTATGATTAACTCTATTGATAAATTCAAAATGTGCGCGAATTTATCATAATGATAAATTCGGACGTGTTTAAGAATTTACTCATATAGTAAATTCAAAGGTGGAGCTCATGTTGAACTTTCCAGATACGAAATTTACACGTTAATTACATCGCCCGATCGCTGTCTCAAGACAAACCGGCGCTCTTACCTGATTTTAGGATTTCAAGCTGCAATATAGCAAAAACAAACCCAACAAACTGAAATATGTAATGAGAAAAAGGCCATAAAACTGAGCAGAAAGTTTCAGATTTAACCACCTCTGAATTTTATGTAATAGTTCAAATACGAGACCGAGGACTTTACCGGGATTTCAAAGTCCGAGAGCGGTTTGAAAAGGCGAGCCGCAGGCGAGTATTTTTAATGCTCGAGGACTTCGAAATCCCTGAAAAGTCCGAGGTCCAGTATTTGAACTGACTTCTCAAACTCATCAATTATGCAATTTTCACGCATGAAATTTTAACTTAAAAATTATATGCTTCAAATGCTACGCCATGCGACAATTGCAAGCGTGTATAGATTGTTGTAAACGAGAGTGCGAGACATGGCAGAGAACGGTTTCAAAGTGAAGACAAACTTGTTTAACGAATGAAAGGGTTGAATGAAAGCGAAGACAAACTTCTTTAACTTAACGAACAAACTTGTTTAACGAATGGCTGACAATATTGGTCTCTGCAAGGTTATAGTAAGACAGAATTTAAGACAGTTTATGAAAGGTTATCTAGCGAGTCAAGCGTTGTTATTTATTGAACTGCTCAACTGCATGCACCAGTCGAGAAAGCCAAAAAGGTTGCGAGTCCTAAAAAGAAAACGTTTCAGCCTGCCAATATATCCAACTGTATAGTGTATCAATCAATCACTATAATCGTTTAGGGGCTTCGGTGGCGAAGTGGTTAGCGCACTTGCCTTTCACCTCTAAGGCCGCAGGTTCGAATCTCAGTGAGAGCTTCTCAATGTGACTCGAACCCAGTCCTCATGTGAAAAGAATAAAAGTCAATGCTCTGCTGAAAGTCGTGGGTTTTCTCCGGGTACTCCGTGTTTCCTCCCACAGGGAAAGTTGACAGGGTGGGTTAGGCACATAGGATAGGTCTGGAGGCAGATCATTAATGAGGTATGGACTAATAGCGGCTGCTCAAGCGCCATTTGTAAGCTCAAAGTCTACCTCGGTCTGCTTCACGTCAGTCCGGTTCTATCTATCTATTCATAATGTAACCAGTCACTGAAAAGCCCTGTTAGGGAGTGTGCTGTGAAATATCTGTCTGTTAAGTGTGATTGCAGAACAAGCGAGATATTTGTGTTATTAGTTAAGGATTATTATATGTGTGCAAACGTGTGTTTAATTTTGCTTTGTAGTTTTGTTAATGGCAGAAAAATATTCTGTACCTTAAATTAATTCCAGTGTACTAGTACCTTGAAAAATTTAAAAATACTAGTACCTTAAAAAATTTCAAGCTACTAGTACCTTGAAAAATTTCAAACTACTAGTAGTTTGAAAATGAATACTTAATCAGGCCCGCTGATCCCTGGGAGATTTCAAATCCTCCACCTGCTTTGAAGACAGTTTTCTTCCAGTTTCAAAACACTGATTAAACATTAATTTCTTTTGTTTTCGGTTTATAAATTATTAATGAGTTTGAGAAAACAATTTCTCTGTCTCTGTTCTCTGAGCATGTTCAGCCAAACCACATGCAAACTAACAATTAAAAAAAAAGCCCGGGCTGAAATTATTTGCGATTACATGGGATATTTCATCCCGGTTGACAGGGCTGAAATTCAGGCCTGAGATTTTCAGCCCTGTCAACCGGGATGATATATCCCATGTAATTGCAAATAATTTCAGCCCGGGGTAAAAAAAACAATCGTTTAAATGGCTTTATTTTGCGTTTCGTCTCATCTTTAATAGTTTATATGCAACCACAGTCTTACACAAGTCAAATAGTCGACTAATCGGCGTTTTAAATGCTCAAACAAGCGGAATATTGCCTTTCGTGATATCGTATGATTTCAGGCCGGGATGACATTTCGTCCTGGGTTTGTTTTAATACTACAAGGAATAAATATTGCTCTGACTAAAACTCAGCCCAGCTTCAAACTGCCCATGTAATCGTGATGCTATTTCGGCTCTGTTTACCGGCCTGAAATTCAGCCCAGGCTGAAAACTCTCCATGTAATCGGTATAAAATATACAGAAATTATCTCGGTCATAGCACTATCTACTTAGTCTTAAATAAAGAATGTTGTGACTGCTAAAACCATGTAAATTGCTAATAATAGCCATTCTTAAGGAAATGCATTTTCGGGTTTAATTCCCGATGAAAATAGCAACTATTTATGAGAAAATAGCGACCGGAACTACCGGAAGGAACAAAAGACTGGAAGATTTCAGTCACGCTACATGTCGAAAATACCCAATATTCACGGCCTCCGTACGAACTCTAAATACAATAACCCAGATTAATTTTTTTATATGTTCTAGAAGAACATTTGATTAGTTAATGGCGTACGTTTCGTGTAGAAAAAATCTGGGGCACTTAGTTAAAATGGTTTGGCGTGGCAACGGTAGATTGTAATTTTAGCTATGTGTGAATACCATACGATTCTAAATATCAGCTGTCTGGTTTTAAATAATAGTTAACTTAATATCATGATTTTATACTCAATCGAGTCTCAAACATCTCTTACATCGATTTACAAACGTACAGTTTTCATATCTTTTCCAATTCTGCATGCGTTAGTTGTTTTTGAACCTGTTTGATTCAATTGAAAATTTGCATATTTTTTACGTCGCCGACAGTTGAATCGTTTTTCTCGGATTTCTCAGAATTTTAGCGGTTTTTTAAAAACAAACTACATCACGTTTGTTTACTTGGTAATGCCTTCCTGCAAACCAAAAATGAGCAAAATCGAAACTTTGAGCGTGACCGGCTGATGCTCGATATTAGTGGACCTTCCCTCTTAAGCTGTTGTTCGTAATTCGTCATGTTTTCTGTAAATTGTATATTTGTTCTCGTCTTTGATTTATGTTTGTTATAGTTTGTTTTCATTAAGGTTGGTCGTCACATGGGGCTATTCATGTCCTGTTGACCATACCTTCAACCATATTATGTAGTTGTTTAATCTATTTTATGTTTGGTTGTAAAGTTAATAAATAAATATTAATTAGCAAACATTGTAGTAGTCTAGGACCTGTATAGATGTTTGTACGCGTTTCATTTAGCACAGGTAATCTCAACTGTTTTAGGGTAAAATGACCATGGCGGTCAACATGGCATATGTGCTAAAACCTGAATCCCGGGCGAAAGTCCTGAAAATGACCCCGCCCTGGAACGGCAGTGCCGACATAGCTCTAACTTCCGAAAAGCAAAAGAAACAGCCTTTGTGAAGTGCTTATAGTGTTTAGAAGGGTTGCTTTTAGGGGTGGTCATGGGAAGGGAAAATTTGTCTAAGTATAATATTTTACAAGAAAATGACCATGCACCACCCCAGGTAAATTGCTAATTATGCATAAAATAACTAATATGCCTGGCAGAAATTTAATGTTCTTATTTCCTAAAAAAAATTATCATGGGATGAAAAACTATGCTTAATTTAATATAATTATTGTAGTTTTCATAAGGATTGTCATTGTTTTCTGTAAATATAATACATTTTAATTCACTCACCCCCCACAAAAACACCATTTCAGCCATACTTTGCCGTCTTGTTTGCTTTTTATCGCCGAGTCTCGTAGATATCATCCAGTTGTTGTACTTTTACATAATGATAGATGGCTAAAGACGATTTCGACGAAGTTTAATGAAGTTTTGAAACAGTGCAGTATATTTTATCTTCGATATTGTGTCCTTCGGTATTTCGTCAAATTGCCGCCATTTTAATGGCTCACCGCTTCTCTGCCCGATAAATGCCACTTCTTCGTCTTCCTATGTGTTTAGACTACAGTATCCAAGAGTACTTCATTGTAGAATACTCCCAATCGAAAAAATGAAAACATTAGTTGGGTTTTGATGGCAAAACCCTCCAGGTAACCATTTAGGTTCAAAATAAAATACAAAGCATTTGAAAGCCACGCGCAATCTTGGCGAACAATTCTCGTGGACACATGACAGGGGGGGGGGGAATATTTTCACGAAACGTTTGTTCGCCACCACAGCAACCTAAAGTATATTATATTTATTGTATTTTTATGAATTATGATAAAACTACCCAAATATTTATTGTTTTTATCATAATTCATAAAAATACAATAAATACAATATATTTTAGGTTGCTGTGGTGGCGAACAAACGTTTCGTGAAAATATTCACCCCTCCTGTCATGTGTCCACGAGAAGTTTTCGCGAAGATTGCTCGTGACTTTCAAATGCTTTGTATTTTATTTTGAACCTAAATGGTTACCTGGAGGGCTTTGGTATCAAAACCCAACTAATGTTTTCATTTTTCCGATTAGGACTATTCTACAATGAAGTACTCTTGGATACTGTAGTCTAAAAACATAGGAAGACGAAGAAGTGGCATTTATCGGGCAGAGAAGCGGCGAGCCATTAAAATGGCGGCAATTTGACGAAATACCGAAGGACACAATATCGAAGATAAAATATACTGCACTGTTTCAAAACTTCATTAAACTTCGTCGAAATCGTCTTTAGCCATCTATCATTATGTAAGAGTACAACAACTGGATGATATCTACGAGACTCGGCGATAAAAAGCAAACAAGACGGCATAGTATGGCTGAAATGGTGTTTTCGTAGGG